AGTATGACTGAATAGATTGAAACATACAAGTTGTTATGGTAGATCTTCTCAACTCAAATTTATATTTTATTCGATTTCATATTTTTATTTATGCTTCTTTTTTCTGTTGCTGTTATTGTTGTAGTAATATTGATAGATAGAGAATCTGAGATTATCATGCTATGATCAATAACTATCTCACATCTATCTTATCTTGATTGATGAGATGATTGAGTGAACTATAGAATAAGACATTAAATATTATCTTAATTTTTAGATTAATCTTTTATCTCATGTTTGGAAAACTTGTATAGGTTTGCTTTATCTATGATAGTGTTTATTACATAATAAGATGTGAAAAGTGGATTGATGAAAAATTGTTTTTATGCTATTAAATTTAAGTAGAATATTTGATTACGTATGAAATATGAGCGACAATAGAGTCAAAAGAAACTAAATAGGTGAATTTGTGTAAATTAATGGAAAACTAATAATGATTTGATAGTAAATTATCAGAGATTTCTAGATTAATCACTCACTTTTTCACTAGTTTATGTTTTATATCAGTTCCAGTTAAGGAGGTTATATACTTCTTTTCACATTTATACAGAGATGATTGAAAAGAAGATATCGTGAATAATTTATTATTTTGATTGTAATATCCAAAGAACTATAAAAGAGTTGATGAGACGTTCATAATTGTCATTCTATCAAATATCTTTCGAGTACAGCTCGCAGAATTTGTACAGAATTGAAAAACACATAAGTTAGTGTAATTATCACAGTGGTCAATTTGTGACAAACATCTTTTATATATTTGATTAAGATAAGAGAGAGAATAGAAAATATAGAAAACTTATTATGTATGATAATGATATATGAAGAGATTTTGTCCAGTACATTTGACTACTATTCGCGATCTATATAAGTTTGAAGTGATATGAAACAGACATATCAAAGACTATCGTTTTTAAAATAATGAAAAATACAGTACAATAATAATGAATATTGATTGTCTGATTATATACAATGTTGTTTAGTCTAAATATATGAAAACATAACTTCTAGGATGGTTTTCTACTGGCAATATGAGTGTTGCACGATATTGGCACACTGCATCTATATTATCAAATGGGAAAGTATTAGTTACTGGTGGAGTCAATAGAGTTAGTGTTTTCAATAGTGCTGAGCTATATGATCCATCAACAGGTACTTGGACAACTACTGGTAACATAACTAATGCACGATATACTCACACAGAATCTGTATTATCAAATGGAGAAGTATTAATTACTGGTGGATATAATAGTGGTAATGTTTTAAATAGTGTTGAGCTGTATGATCCATTAACAAGTATTTGGACAACTACTAGTAACATGAATAATGCACGAAACTGGCACACAGCATCTGTATTATCAAATGGGAAAG